TTAGTGCTGAGATAGGCTGGAACAAAGTACAACCAAACACTACAAAAGACCAACATGCTGAAAGGTCAAAAGTTTTACCCATCAATTGGATTTGTATAACAATCAGCTCTGAATGATATAGCTTTGAGTCTGATATTTAGACTTTCTTTTAACCTTAGGTATATTTTATTCATGTGTACACCCTAATAAACATTTGTATATTTTATAATAATTTATTTGTTAGCTTGACCCTCTTAGCCCACAGCTACATTTTGAGTTGAGGTCCCCCCCCCCGGTTTTTTTACTACCTTGCTTTCTCCATAATCCAGCAAATGTTGGCAATTTGATCTCTGGTTCCTCTACCTCTTTGAAACCCAGCTTGTACTTCTGGCAATTCTCTATCCACGTACTGATGAAGTCTAGCTTGTAGGATCTTGAGCATGACCTTGCTAGCATGTGAAATGAGTGCTACTGTGCAATAGTTTGAACATTCCTTGGCATTGCCCTTCTTTGGGATTAGAATGTAAACTGACCTTTTCCCAAACTTGTTGCCACTGTTGCATTTTCCAAATTTGCTGGCATATGGAGTGCAGCACTTTAACAGTGTCAGGGTTCCCAATAAGTCAGTATCAGCAGCAGGTCCTTAAGCAGGTAAAGCTTTAATGATCAGAGATATATAGTAACTCCATGAACTCCTAAATCAGGAATGAGCTATTCAAAATGGCTATTGCAATTATAGGGGTTTCATACAGGGGCCCCTGACATGTGAGGCCCAATAGGCAGCTTTACATAAGCGCAGGGAGTAACGGTTTGGGAAGAAACTGGGAAGACAGTGCAGTTTCGCACTCAAGGCACTGGCTGCTCAAAGTCGGCTCGAGATAAGATATTCAGTACAGAAGCAGCAGCTGCAAAAGGGAAACAGGCCATCCGAGAAAACAACACATCTCATGACGGGGCTACCCGACAAACAGCATAATCTTTTAGGACTTTGAATAGATCAGTTGGGATACCGTCATCTCCGCTAGCTTTGTTGTTACTAATGCTTTCTAAGGCCCATTTAACTTCACACTCAGGGATGTCTGGCTGAAGGTCAGCAATCACATCATTGTGGTTGTCAAGAACATTGAGATCCTTGTTGTATAGTTCTTCTGTGTGTTCTTGTCACCTCTTCCTAACCTATTCTGCTTCTCTTAGGTCCCTGCAATTTTTGTCCTTTATCATGGCCAGCTTTGCATGAAACGTTCCTGATGTTACATATTCAGATGAGCACACATTTCTAACACCACCAAGTAGCGCTATTTCAAGAAAAGATATTCAAAAGCACAATCCAGGGAGGAATTGAATAGTTTAATTCCTTTTCTTTCTTAACTGCTCCCTGTTGTTCATCTTAGGCCTGAGAATAATGATGTAGCATTTAGGGGGGAAAATGCATCTCAGTAAACCTGCACTGGAGGCCAAGATGGAGAAGATCTCCACAACCACAATAGATTTCCCCTTAGTGCTGAGATAGGCTGGGACAAAGGACAACCAAACACTACAAAAGACCAACATGCTGAAAGCAATAAACCTGGCTTCATTGAATGTGTCAGGCAACTTCCTAGCAAAGAAAGCCACAGCAAAACTGACAGTGGCAAGGAAGCCCATGTAGCCCAGGACACAGTAAAACATGGTAGCAGAGCCCTCATTACATTCCAGTATGATTTTCCCTGTCACTGAGTGCATGTCAGTATCAGGGAATGGAGGAGAAGTACTTAGCCAAAGGGTACAGATACTTGCTTGAATAAGGGAGCATGAAAGGACAATAAAAACTGCCATTCTTTTCCCCACCCATTTTCTTATTACAGATCCTGGTTCAGTTGCCATGAACACCAGAATCACGGTGATGGTTTTGGCCAAGACACTGGAAAGAGCCACAGAGAAGACAATGCCAAAAGTAACTTGCCGGAGAAGGCAGGTAATTTTTACAGGCTGTCCAATGAAGAGCAAGGACAATGAAGAGCAACATAAACACTTTGCCAGAAAAAATAAGATAATCTGAGGGGTCAGTGACCTTTGTTGAAATTTAGATTTACAGAGATATCAGAATTCTGAAAGTGTGGAGAATCTATTAAAACAATCCTCCCTGGAGCCATATAGATCTGAATAGCTTTCTGATGGCTTTAGAGGATTTCCCTTTTGATATGTTTGATAGTCCTTTATATGACCTGGTTGACCTCTGGAATGAGGAAATTATCTGGATGGTTGACATAATCACTTCCAGTAGCCCTATCTCAAGTTTTAGGCAGTTTGAAGACATGCATTTTTTTCTTTGGAGGTTTGAAAGGAGCAGAACCTTCTGTTAGAATTCTAAAAGGTCCCCCCCTTTCTGGGCAGAGAACAGATTGGGAGGAGGGAAGTCAGTTAAATAGCTATCCAGATTTACCTCATCCCTCCTTCATACAAATACTAATAGGTCTAGCCAATAGGACGGTCAAGCTCTTCCCACCCTCCAAGCAGGAAACAGAGATTTCTAAGAATTAAATATTAAAGAGGCTTCAGGAAGGAAATTTCTGGAGATGTCAGGAAGAGCTTTCTTGACCTGGCCTGACCTGGTCAGTGGGTGGGGAAAACAGAGCTGATAAAACTCAGGGGAGTGAGGAAGAAGCTCTCCTCTTGCTAAGCAAAAGGTCTCTTTAGGAGCTAAACTCCCCCCCCCCCCAAAAAAAATGGGAGACCTCCCCTTTGAGTAACAAGTCCAGCAATGGCCATTCCCAGGGAAACCTTTGCTTCTAGTGCACAGAGGATATGGATCTGAATGGGAATCTACATTTGTTTATGCCCCATCAATTCAGCATGTTGCTTATTCAGATGAGCACCCATTTCTGACACCACCAAGTAGTGCTCTTTCAAGGAAATATATCCAAAAGCAGAATCCAGGGAAGAATTGAAATAATTTAATTATTTTTCTTTCTTAACTGCTCCCTGTTGTTCACCGCAGGCCTGAGAATAATGATGTAGCATTTAGGAAAAAATATGCATCCTAGTAAGCCTGCACTGGAAGCCAAGATGGCGAAGATCTCCACAACCATGATAGATCTCCCCTTAGCACTGAGATAGGCTGGAACGAAGGACAACCAAACACTACAAAAGACCAACATGCTGAAAGTGATAAATCTGGCTTCATTGAATGTGTCAGGCAATTTCCTAGCAAAGAAAGCCACAGCAAAACTGACACCAGCAAGGAAGCCCATGTAGCCCAGGGCACAGTAAAACATGATAGGAGAGCCCTCATTACATCCCAGTATGATTTTTCCTGTCACTGAGTGCATGTCTGTATCAGGGAATGGTGGAGAAGTACTTAGCCAAAGGGTACAGATACTTGCTTGAATAAGGGAGAATGAAAGGACAATAAAAACTGCCATTCTTTTCCCCACCCATTTTCTAACTACAGATCCAGGTTCAGTTGCCATGAAAACCAGAATCACAGTGATGGTTTTGGCCAAGACACTGGAAAGGGCCACAGAGAAGACAATGCCAAAAGTAACTTGCCGAAGAAGGCAAGTCATTTTTACAGGCTGTCCAATGAAGAGCAGGGAGCAGAGGAAACAAAGTAGGAGGGAGATGAGGAGAATGTAGGTGAGGCTCCGGTTATTGGCTTTGACAATGGGAGTGTCCTGATGCTTTAGGAAGATTGCAAGCACCAAAGCTGTGATCAGAGAGAAAGAAATAGCCAAGATGACACAGATGATACCTAAACCTTCTTTGTAGGAGAGGAAGCTTTTATCTTTGGGAATGCATTGGTTTTGGTGGTTGTTGGCATACTGATCTCCTGGACATTTGACACAGGCATCCATATCTGAAAGAAATATTTTGTGTAATTACATTATAAAATATTGACCAACAACTATGAGGAGCAGACTATCAGAGAGTTATAGAATAGAGGTGAGAAGTCAGCTTTGTCTAGTGGTTACACTACAATCAGTAGGACCCAGGTTTGAATCTCGACTATGCCATGGAAGTTTGGTATGTGACCTTGGGTCAATTGCTCACTATTCACTTAACTTCCCTCACAGGGCTGCTGCAAGGATAAAACACTGCAGGGGAGACTGATATTGTGAGCCACTTTGGGTCCCCATTTGCAAGAAGTCCCCGGTATGAATATTCATATAAATAAATTCAGGAAACTAAACCCTATATTGGGCCATGGTTATTTTTCTCTCTCTTACCTTTCTGTTCAGAGATCATTCCTTCTGGACATGGATCACAGTCATAACAGCAGAACTTCTCTCCCTCCCTCTTTTTTCTGCTGTAGCCACAGGGGCAGGGGTCATTGCACACAGAACGGGGCAGGCTCTATTGATAAAAGGACATCAAGAAGATATTAACTGTGCATTGAGAAATGGCATGTTGTGCATTGTTGGAATTGAATTATGACAGCATAATCTTTGATCCAGCTGCCTTTTTGTCCTGTTTATTAAAGCACCCAATTTTTTTTTTCCCCTTATGCAGGTCATATGACCTGAGGCCTAGATTTTTTACTTTGCCCAAAAGAGAACCTCCCTCCTACTTTTTGCAACTTTATTTTGAAATGTGATTCAGCTCTCATGGTACTTTTTTCTTTAAGTTCCAGAGAAGAGCATGGGTAAGCAAATAAAGGTAACAATAGTTAAGAAAGCTACTGATTTTAAATGGCTCACATCCCACATACATGAAGAATAATATAAACTATCATCAGTTGTGAAGGATTAGTTAGGGTACAGTCACATGCGCCAGATAAACCGGGGGGGGGAGGGGAGTGACGCTATTCCCTCAGGAGGAATTTGACCTGCAGTTGCATGATCACACAGTCCTTTGAAGCTGCAGGCACAGCCCGCCACTGCATGATCAGACACAACCATGGGTGAGTTGGGTTTTTTTTTTGCCATTTGTTTCCAGTTCACTTAAATGGAGAATCAATGAATCACATCTTCACACTGAGGGCTCCCTATGTAGGGTATGGTGATGTGCATACTAAGGTGGTGGTGGGGAACAATGGCATGGAGTTGGAATGGCCTGATCAGACTGTCCCGTGCCATGAGAGCGCATTGGAGCGATCAGACAAGGGAAAGTCCATCTGTGGCCCATAGGAACCCATTTGCTACCAGGCTTTCCCCAGTGTCTTTTTACTCTGCTTCTGCGGCAGAGCAAAACTGGTTGCCAACAGCTGCAGGTCACTTCCCAGATGTTGTTGTCTGATTGTGTCCTTAAAATAAATAAATAAATAAATAAATCCACCATGTGTACCTATGGCAGGGCTAATTGTGCGTGTGATTGCAGCCTTGGAGTTGTTACAATTAAGAAGAATGTTCTTATGAAGCATACAGCTTATACTAATATAAAGAGTACCCCAAGGAAGTATTGAGGGAGGAAGAAGAAGACGAAGAAGAGTTGGATTTATACCTCGTCCTTCACTTGGAGTCCCAGAGTGCTTTATGATCTCCTTCCCTTCCTCTCCCCACGAGAGACACCCTGTGAGGTAGGTGGGGCTGACTGAGCTCTGAGAGAACTGCTCTTGAGAGAACAGCTCTGAGAGAACTGTCACTGACCCCAGGTCACCCAGCTGGCTGCATGTGGAGGAGTGGTTTGATAAGGAATGTAGACACTTAAAAATCCAATTACCCAATGTCTTTAGATAATATTGTGAGTCCGCTGCCCCATATTTTATCAAAAAATACTTTAAATTTAAGAAGCCACTACAACAGATTATGAACAGAAAGAGGATTGAATATATTAATGCACAATGGGGACAATTATACAAGGCCACAATTTTAAATAATATAAAAAAATTCTGGACCATAAACAGAAAGAGGATTGAATATATTAATGCACAATGGGGACAATTATACAAGGCCACAATTTTAAATAATATAAAAAAATTCTGGGCCATAGTCTAGAGTGCATGTCGTGCAGAGGCTCTATGTCTGCTATTTCTCCCCAAGAGTTGTTTTAATATTTTTCAAGATTATTCCCTCAGGATGATGTCCACACTATGGAACCCTCAGATTTTTTGTCTGAGGACACCTGACTGTCCTCCTCTAAAACATGATGAAATAAAAGAACTGATTGACCAATTAAAACCAGGAAAAAACATCTGGTCCTGATATAATTCTACCTGAAATTTTAAAACTGGACCTTTACTGGTGGGCTGCCTAGAGATGTGAAGGCCCGGGAAAAAACCGGAAAAATTCGGAAAAAAACGTTTTTTTTCCGTTTTTCCCCCTGAAGATTTTTTGTTTTTTTCCGAAAAATTGGAAAAATTGAAAAAAGAAAAGAAAAGAAAAAATGATTATGGAATGTTTTATTTTAACATGATGAATAAAATATTTTAAGACAAGGTGTTCAAATATTTTCCAAAACCAAACAAAGGTTAGTGGAAAGGAGGGCCAATATTAAAACCTTTTCATAAAAAGAGGTACATGTATTTATTAATAATAACAAATTAAAACATATATAGGGGCCCAATTACAACCAATATATATAAAACATAACCATAACCAGGGCTAAAAAAGTTTTATATATATTGGT